CCCTGGATATTCCAGGTGATTTCTTCAGTTCTGCAATTCTTTCTTGTAAGTTAAATAATCTGACTACGGAGGTTGGGAAACAATCCTTTCAGAGTGTGTTAGAAATAGCTCTTCAATCACAAAGAAAAATGCAAGAACTTGGCAATATTTCCTCACAGAAGCTCTAGCTAGTAAGAACATTTGGAGGAAAAAATCATTTCATCATCATGTTCCTGGAAGAAGCAATTATCAGGTGGTAAATTTTATTTGCACAGTTATTATCTTGATTTAAGGTGCCAAGTCTATAAAAAGACCAGAAGAGCGAAAGTAGCACCTATTAGCTGCATGGCCAGGGCTGTGGAATTGGCAGAGGACACACAGACCTCAAGCAGTGCTGGCCTGCTCGGGGACTGTGAGTAGTGGGATGGGCTATTAAACCTGAAGCTTCCTGGAGCACATTTAGTTACATCTTTGTCTGTTTTCCTTGCCTACATGCAGAAATATAAAAGCTTGTTAAATTCTTATCAAATTCGCAAGTACAACAGAATGTGTTCATTAAGCATTTGGGTTGCTTTCTCCCAATGCTGTCTTGTGAAACACGTTTTCATTTACATCTGATCTGCCCATACTCAGTGAAGCTGTAGACTACGGGGCTTGAGGTGGATTTGCTTGATTTTATCAGTCTTGTGGGTAGATGTTACTTGGCACATTTTTTTTTTTTTTCAATGGCTGCTAGGCAGAATCCTTGAATCAAAAACAGAGGGAACAATGCATCTGCTTTTCTTGCAGTTGCACTGATGACCATATCTGTTCCTACAAGCAAGCCATTAAATGGCATTCAATTCACTAAATTAATTCCTCACATAAATATCATGAGGTATTTGAGCACATAGGCTTGTAAACAGTATGAGCTTAGATAAGGTAGTTGAATTGGCTTTGTTTCAGCTCTAAAAGTAGGCAAAATTAGTATTTGTCTCATTGTGACAGAATTCCTGAAAATATATCAAGTACTTAGGAGAATTTCAGACATAATAAGCATTAATGTTAGTTATTATTATGGTTATTACTCCTATAACTAGATAATTTTCTTTCTAAGACCCAAAACTAAAGGGATAAAATTAGGAAAATAATCAAAGGAACTGTGAATTTACTCCCCTGAATCAATTACAGTGCTGTAAACCATGTTACCCCCCCCCCAAAAAAAGGGATAGTATCTCAAAAGGTCAAATTTCTATTATAATTCATATTTTCTTTTTATTTTTAAGATTTTTTATTTATGCATACAGAACTAGGGTACAGGTCAGAGGTGCAGGGGTGGTGAGAGGATTCATCAGAGACAGAGTGGGGAGCAGAACAGGCAGATCGATGAAGTACACTGCTGAGGGGAGCAGCAGGCGGGTCAGGAGAGGTCTGCTGTGCCATGTGGATCACCTGGGGGCAGGGATCGAACTCATGCGGAAGTGGCTTTAGTTTCTCAGTGCTGTGCATTGACCTGCTGCACCACCAGGGAGGGCTCAATTCATACTTTATTTTCTCTTAGCTATATTAGAATATTGTGGCAGGAGGCCAGGGGTAAAGTGTATAGGAGAACCTCAGTAGGAAGAAGAAAGTAGTTTCACCCAAGGGTGAAAGTGGGGGAAGGAGCTTTACCCTAAGAGAGTGAGCAATGTACTTTATTAAATTATATTGCCATTTGGTTTATTCTAAGGCTTTAAGAATTTTATATCAAGATCCTGAAATTTCAGTGATTAACACTGCATCTGGTCATCTGTGATGTTCATCATCAGCACCATGCTATTAAATTTCTATTAAACTCTAAAAGTAGAAAACTCCTTTCAGAAGAAGCTAGAATAAGCAGGCCATTTCGTTTAAGAACTGACTGTTGGTTTATACTCAGACCCCTCTCTCCCTATGCCTAGTATTAGGTAACAAGCCTTTCAAGCAGGAGAAATGTAACTGAAACCTTCAGTTGCCAGTTTTCATTTCATGGAGTAGAACCATTAGCAGTGCAATTGCAGAGTAGTTATTTTTTTTCCTAGCTAGCAGTATAGTAATAGGGAAAAAAATAATAATAACAAAAAAATCCCCTCTGAGCTCATCGAATTAAATAAAGGAATGGTTATAAAAATAATACCAACGAAGCATGTGTTATAATATGATTTCACTGGAGAAATGAACAGATAAGTGTGCAAGGTTTGCATTCAAAATTCCCGTGATATGGGCCTTCCCTGGTGATCAAAGTGTTAAAGTGCAACACATAAAACTATCCATCACTGCTGCAGCACAAGTGTTACATCCCTGTTCGATCCCTGGTCAGGCAAGTGGCCCACAGGGTACAGCAGACCTTTCCTGTGTTGCCCACTGCTCCCCTCAGCAGTGTATTTCTGTCAGTTCTGCTCCACACTCTGTCTCTGATGAGTCCTCTCACCACCCCACTCTTGTACCTCTGGCCTGTATTTCAGCTTTTGTATGCAAAAATAAATCTTTAAATAAAAAATAAAAACAAACAAAAAAAATTCCCCACAATAAACTGGGGTAAGTGGACATATGTAATAGGATAAGGTTCAAACAAGGTGTGTTGGACTTTTCCTAGAAAAGGCACAAAAGATGGAAAAGTGCTGCCATTTTGCCAAGAAGACAGAAAATGTCCTTGAGGGTGAAAACTGACTCTAACCCCCCATGAGATCTACAAAAAGGCTCATGGTACAGAGTGACGTGAACAAGGAAGTACAAGAACTATAATGTAATCTATTACTACAACCATTTTGGTTGATGCCAACAGGTTCTGGGACTTAGCAAGATCCTAAGAAGAATAATCAGAAAGGAAATAGGAACGACTTAGTCACTGACTGAAAATAGGGTCTGACCCTCCCTGGTGGCACAGTGGGTTAGGACACAGCCCTGCAAGCTAGCGGCAGCCACTTCAGTGCAAGTTTGATCTCCAGTCCCAGAGGTGATCCACAAGGCACAGCAGACCTCTCTTGACCTGCCCACTGCTCCCCTCAGCAGTGTACTTCATCAATCTGCCTATTCTGCTCCCCATTTTGTCTCTGGTGAAGCCTCTCACCACCCCTGCACCTCTGGCCTGTACCCCAGTTCTATATGCATAAATAAAGAAATCTTTAAAAAAAAAAAGAAGAATAGGGTCTGTAAGGAAGATTTAAAGGGACCAGAGATACTTGATTTATGAAGGCAAAGACTGAGTTAGATTTAAAAGGAGTCTTCACTTTTTATTCTGGGCATAGGATTTTTTTCCCACGTATCTTTCAGGTGGTAAGGACAGGCTGAGGGACCTTTTAAGCAACTTGTTTAAGAACACATAGTTAGAAAACATCAGAGTCAAATTAAGTCAGCGTGTGCATGATTCCAAAACCCAGATTCTTCCCACCATTCCACAGTGTCTTTCTCTTGGTGGTTTGCTTGGGAATTTTACTAAGCTGTGCAAGTTTCTGAATAGTTTGCTGCTGAGGAGGTGGTGGTGAAGACTATGTCTCACTACCTTGAAACCAATAGTTCGCCAGACACATCAAAGGGCTGCCCCATCCACATGAATACCAGCTGAAGGTCATGCTTCACTGCTTCACTGTGGGACTAAACTGAGAGTGAGTGACCATCTACCATTCTCTTGCTACTACTTGCTTTATCTTCTTTTATTTTTTATTTATTTATTTTTTTTAAAAAGATTTATTGATTTATTCATACAGAACTGGGGTACAGACCAGAGATGTGGAAGATGAGAGGATTCACCAGAGACAGAGTGGGGAGCAGAACAGGCAGATCGACAAAGTACACTGCTGAGGGGAGCAGTGGGCGGGTCAGGAGAGGTCTGCCACGCCATGTGGATCTCCCCCTGGGGCAGGCGGGGATCGAACTCATGCAGGAGTGGCTTAAGCTTCTTAGTGCAGTGCTTTAACCCTCTGCGCCATCTTCTTTTACTTTAAGGCACAGAAAACAATCATCCCATCTTGGCTAACTCTTGAAAGACATAATATATTCTGGGTACCATTCAATGTTGTATTTAGTCCAGGATAGAGTACAAATTTTAGTACAAATATTCATTACAATTCTAACCTACACCCTGCATGTTTTAGATTATTGTAACTATCAGTGGAAACCTTGATTCTTGGTCATTTAAAGTGTGATGATGATGAAGTGTGTGTGTGTATGTCTATTCATATGTAGAATCTGTATAGTATGAAAAGAAGCCAGAAATTGTAAAGCAGAAATAACAAGATTTTTTTTAAAGGTTTATTTATTTATTCATACAGGCCAGAGATGTGGAGGGTGAGAGGATTCACCAGGGACAGAGTGGGGAGCAGAACAGGCAGATCTACGAAGTACACTGCTGAGGGGAGCAGTGGGCAGGTCAGGAGAGGTCTGCCACGCCATGTGGTCACCTCCGGGGCAGGCGGGAATCGAACTCATGAGGAAGTGTCTTTTAGATTCTCAGTGCGGTGCTTTAACCCGCTGTGCCACCAGGGAGGGCCAGAAATAACAAGATTTTAATGGAAATAATTTTGTCTGTTAGTGATAAAGAAATGAAACAGAGAGCGAAGAAAATGTGAGACAAGCAGAAGTTGCAGATGGAAGGAGGAAAAAAGATTAAAAAGTAAGGTGATGGAGAAGAAAGATAGTGAAGAGGAGGAAAAGCTAGACTGACCTACAGCACCATCTTGCCTTACGTGAGGTAGGCTATGATGTGTCACAGGCTTCTATGCCAACACACAGAAATGTAGATTTCAAAATAAATTAGTATTTGATTTTTTTTATATCGAAATAGATTTAAAGCATTACCAAAAAGAAAGGTACATATAATTGACACGTGGTTGCAGAAAGAGACATGGATTTTCACACCCCGCCCCCCCCCCCCCCCAAGTTACCCGGTCCTCCTTCCTTTTGCCCAATGACCTGAATCCCAAGTGGAAGACTGGAGTTGGGATTTAATTCAAACCTACATAATTAAACAAAAATCAATGAGTTTATCCAGTGACCAAATGTTCAAAAAATGTTCAAAAATCTACCTGACCATCGGTCCCAACGGAGCCTCCACAGTCAGTAAGCAGTTCTGACATATCGTAGTAGCTCACAAACTCCCACAGACAGGCCTCCAGGTTAAGGTTTCGGTAGAAGCGCAGGGTGCTGGCACCTCTGATGGACGAGCTGTACTGGTAAGGATATGTTTCTCCTATGATCTCTGGGTTTCTGGTCGCATCAGTCAAGAAGCCATGGTGGGTCTTCACTTCAGTGTAATCCAGAAGGTTGGAGCACTTGTGGTTTCCAACTCGTGTGCCGTCGGGACTGAGGGTGAGCTCAAAGTTGGAAAGTTCCTTAGTGGAGATGACAGGAAGCATGCCTAGGAGGAATTGGAATCATGAGTGCCAGGCTCACCAACAGCAAAGGGCTAAGAGTACTTGGTACATTATCTCTTGCACAGCAATTACTGTACAGTGCTGTTTAGTATTGATTATCAAAGCCCTGTTCACAGACTCCTGGGGTTCCCAGGAATCTTTCAGGAAATCCATGACACTAAAGTTATTTGCATCATGATACGAGATAGTATTTGACTTTTGATTTCTTTGGCTACAATACATCATAGATTACAGTCGATTGGATCCAGGAGCAGATATAGGAATACAGGTTTCTTTTATTAAACTGGAGATATTTATAGCTGAATATTGAAATATTTAATAATATTTTCAAAAGAACAATGCTATTCACATAAATTATTTGTTTATAAATTAAAGTTCTTCTTAAATCTGTTTTTCATGTTAATGTATAATAAATATTTTCTTGTTATTTTAAAATAAATGAAAACCTTATATTTAACAATTCCTCAGTTTTAAAGTTCAGTTGACATACTTAAATATATCCCATAAAAACAAAGATTCTTGAAGCCCTAAATAATGTTAAGGGTGTCCTAAGGCCAAAATTTGAAAACTTCTATGATCTAATATAGAGTAAGGGTTGGCAAACAGCTTCTGTAAAGGGCCCAACTGCAAATATTTTAGGATTTGTGGGCCATAAGATCTCACTGCTTCAACTGCTTAATGCTGCCATTGTAGATAGTAGATTACCATCAATGAAAGACAAAGGAATTAATTTGTGTGTCACAGACTTCATCTTGACTAGTCTAAGACTATCATATAGTTATCATGTGTCATGAGATAGTCTTCTTGAAGAATTTCCCAATCATTAAACAAATGTAAGAATCATTCTTAATCTGCAGACCATGGATAGGCAAGGAGGGGATTTTCCATAAGTCATAGTTTGTGGAACCTTGGCATAAACAATGCATCAAAATAGCTATGAAAGATGCTTTCCCCTTTCCATCCCCTTTTGAGATTTTCCCAGAGCAAAACTTCACACAAAAGAACCCTTGCAGAACTCAGGCTAGTGAATGACATGCAAAGTCAAGCCTTAGGAGCAGCACAGGGGATCAGTCTTTCTACAGGGGAAGGTTTTATAGGTCTGTTTTTCTGACAGGTTCCTGCTAAGCCCTTTGTAATGCCAATTCTCACCTCTAGAGTAGGAAGGTCAAAGTTAAGATCTGCATTGAACTTTAACAACTGCAGATCATTGTTACATCTACCTCCCACTAATACAAGTCCAGGCCTGAAATAAGCAAAGCAGAATTATACTTTTTCTGAAGGGAATGGATTCTACCTTCTAGTTCCCCATGTTTCCTCTTCCTTAGCTACTTAAAATATGACTAACATGTCAAATAATAAATTAATATTAATGATTTACTTCAAGTACACAGTGCCTGGAGGGGATAAACTTGAAAATTCTTGTATATGTGGAGAAATGTTTATACAATGTGGATAAGGCTATTGACTCACCAATTCTGGCCACACTTTCTTAAGCAGAGAAAATAAGCACAGAACTTTGAGTTATAGTTTTAATTTTATTTCAATGCCAAGGAAATATTTAAGTCATTACAGTTAATATTAGCAAGTATTTATAAAATTCTAGCTATGAAATAGCAAATAAATGTTGATGGTAAGTATCAAGAGACCAAAATATTTACTGCCAGTCCAAATTCAAGAGTTTTGAAGACACATCTGTGCATTAACCAAAGTTTTGTTTCACTGTGTCTAAACTTATTAAATTTTAAATAATGTTTGAATTGTATGAAATTAAAAAAAAAAAACCAGAATCACTTGAAAGAAGCAGAAGGACTTAAATTCAAATTACTGTATTACTTGAATTATGCACTTACCATATATTTCATTATTCAGGTTATTCACTAAAATGAACCAGATAAGGAGCCCAAACCACTTCCATGGTTTTGTTCACCCCATCACCTACCATCGATGTGAGGCATTGTGACAGTGAGTTTGATAAGGTTTGTGTGTTCTGGGTCCTCGGTGCCAGTGTAACGCAACTTGGCTGAGAAAGGCTCAGCTCCCACAATCCCTGGCACCCGGGGCTGACAAAGACCTGGAGAAAAAAAAATAAACATATCTATGCTAAAAGAACAGAAAACACTAAAATATTTTTGAAAGAGAAACTATTACTTTTCTCTGTACTGTATACTTCTCTGTGTTCTAAGACATTATTAGGAAAGGAAAACATAAGGAAGTAAAGACAGTGGAAGAAGTAATCACAGCAGACTGTGGCTACTTCTTAACAGTTAAGACCTTTTCCCAAAGTTCATAAACACATTAATTTGAAAGGAAACTTACACTCCTTTGTTTATTGCAGCACCATTTAAATACACCTAGGATATGGAAAACAAACTAAATGTCCCAAACCAGATGACTGAATCAAGATGTGATATATACAGCCAATGGAATACTACTTAGCAATCAAAAATGATAAATGAAAGCCATTTGTAATAATATGAAAGGAGTGAGAAGGGATTATGATCAGTGAAATAAGTCAGAAGGAGAAATAAAAATGTTCCTCCTCGGGCCCTCCCTGGTGGCGCAGCGGGTTAGAGCACTGCACTGAGAAACTGAAGCCACTTCCGCATGAGTTCGATCCCCACCTGCCCCGGAGGCGACCACATGGCGCGGCAGACCTCTCCTGACCCGCCCGCTGCTCCCCTCAGCAGTGTACTTCGTCCATCTGCCTGTTCTGCTCCCCACTCTGTCTCTGGTGAATCTTCTCACCCTCCGCAACTCTGGTCTGTACCCCAGTTCTGTACGAATAAATAAATCTTTAAAAAAAAAAAAAATGTTCCTCCTCACTTATGGGAGGAATGTAGGGGAACCACACAAGGGATCAGGCATAAAAAAAAGTCAAAATAGCAGGCAAACTATAAATCAGAGACATTTTGTAGGGGGCAGGGAGGAGAGGGAACAAAAAAGGGGAGGGAAGAGCACAAGAGACTCTGGTGATGGTTCATGGATGTCATGGTGGTGAGAATTTTATGGAGTGTTTCCCTTGGACCAGATGTGAGCCAAGTGACACAAGATTACACCTGAGGAGAAATCAAACTTGTACAAAAATGAACACTGATGTAAAAATTCATTAAAAAAAATTTTGAGTATTTTGTAAAGTCTGAGAAAAAGTAGTATTCGATTTCTGTGATGTCATATGTGCTAGATAGTCTTGGTTCTGATCATATCACAAAATTGTCTTCATATAAAGTGTGAGCAGGCATAGTAAAATGACTAAATATAGTAAAAATGATTGAAACTGATAGGATAGAAAATAATGAAGTAAACTGAATGTTTATCCTACAATAAGATACTTACGACTAGTTATGGAATATATACTACTTCCAAGCAAATAAAATTAAAGTGTACTTAATTTTAAAATAAATAGTAAATCTTAGCCAGAGAACAAATATATATGGTAAAATTTTCTCTATTTTTTACAGTATGTTTATTACAAATTACAACTTATACATAGTGACAAAAATATACTGAGACTTACACATTCACATAGTGATATATATTGATATAAAATTATCACTTTATATCTAGTCTCTATCATCTATCTTATCTACCTATTTAATCTGTCAATTTATCTATCTCTTTGAATTGCAAGAATGTTTACATGAAAATATTTCTCCAATGTTTGCTTTTCAGAGAATTGCTGTTTTTATTTTAATATCATGGAAGCAACCAAGATAATTTCAGGAAAACTTGACAATTTAGTTTCTATTTGTACAAACCAGAGAAAATGGACATGTATTTACTAGAATAACAATAAAATCAAAGGCAGATCTCAGTACCTGATTTGAGTGTCTTACAAATGAGGGGGAATCATTTTAAAGGATTGATTACTTTCTTGGGGAGGAGGATATTAACATAGTTGTTTTTAAGAGAAACTAAAATCACATATTTTAATCCTAATGCTTTGTTATTATCGTAAATAATGACCAGAGATGGTAAATTTAACTTTTCTTTATGGGACAAATGTACTTCTGAATCATTGTATGAAACTGAAAATTTCAGAAATGGAGTCTTCTAGACTATTTAATAAATCTAGTTGAAAAGTTCTTCTACAAAATGAATTGTTTGTAATGTGAATTTTCTCTGTTTTCAGCTGGTTTCCATCCAACCAGATGCTCTTCTCCAATATTTCTGAGCTCTGGTCCTGAACACAACCTCCCTTGTGATATAAGTTTGGGCACATATACATAGTTCTTCTGGACTGACCTTCTCTAACTCCAGTAAACTCCTGCTCCTCCAATGACCAAGTAGAAATGCTTTTGGCATAACATATGAGCCACACTTCCATTCCTTTCTGCTTCATCTCCTAATTCCAGTCTTCTCTAAACATGCTTCCCATTTCTCTGTTTGTAATTCTCAGAATGTTCCATGAATTTTTTTAACCCTCTGCTGTTTTCAAGGTTCAGCTTTAGAACCTCCTCTTTGATGAATCCTTCCTGATCCACTCAACATCCAACTAATGACTCCTGTTTTTGCATTTATGTGCTTGTCCAAACTAAAATTTGTGTCCTTGGTTTTAGCTGAATTCCTTAAAGACAGAAATCTTATCTTACTTTTCTTTCTGTCAGTATGAAACACTTAAATGCCAGCCAAAAACCTTGTAGATAACAGATGATCAAAAACATGACATGAGTAAACATGACATGAAAATTTTAATAAAAACAGACTTTTGTTTTTTAAATACTTATAGAATACTGTGGAATATGTGGGACATTTGGATGAATTAATAAACAGAAACAAGACATTTATGATATTCCATGGTTTTCCAGTCATCTTCACATGCGAATGGCAATGCATTACCTTCTTCTCTGCCGATGGTTACAATAGGGCTCATGAGCTCCAGGCCTTCATCGCCATTGGCATTCACAGCTCGAGCTGCACACTGTACTCTGGAGCCAGGCTGAAAGTATATGGAGTCCAGTGTGATCCTCTTGGATGATGTGAAAAAGGTGTCAAAGTCCACTTCTCTCATGGGGCTGGTCACGCCATCAGGGCCAGAGGGAGCACTGATGAGCCATCGGTACCGTGTCAAAGTATCATTGATGTTCTCACTCACACAAATAGAGCCTGTTTTGTCATATTCAGAGTATTTAGGGTTGCAAGCCTATGAAAAGAAATAATAACACCAACTATTTAGGTTCTGCAAATGTATGGAAAACAAAAACAGTTAACTGTCAAAACTATGGTATAGACCAGTATGGAAATCATTCCTCTCAAGCTCTATCATGTTTCACTTCCACTGCTTTTATGTGTCTCTGTGCTACTCATGCAATCTTCAAATTTCTATTCCTAGTCATAACTTTAATGAACTTTAATTTTGCATTTGATACAACTTACTGGATGTTTCTATCTTTGTTGCTGTGAATTACAATGATACTCATTCCATCAACTCCTAAACTCTCAGGATTGGCAAAGTTGTCCTTGTTTTTTCTCTTTCCCTCTTCCTCACATCCTCACACCCTTTGTTCCTCCCCCACACCCTACTCCATTCTCTCATCTTTTCCCAGTGAACCTGTTGGAGGTTCTTTTCAATGTTTTCTAAATTGCCCTCTTCATTCCCATTGCCGGCGCCACCCTTCCACTGGGGCCTTTCTAGTCTGGTGCTGCCATGGTAATGTCCAATGCAACTCCACAGCTCAGGCCATTTGTGGGAGTACACCCTGCTACCCCACAAACTAAGTTCATCTTTCTCACTACAGCATTAAAAGACCTGGCACCAAATGATTAATTAAATAAGCATTTATTGTCTACCTATTATATGTAGGTCATTATGTCAAAGCCACTGAGACATAAAAATCAGTACATACCAGATTTTGCTTATTAGGAGTTTATCATTTAGAGTCAAGAGGAGGTAAGTAAAACAGTAATGCTAAGGGGCCCTTCCTGGTGGCATACTGGGTTTAAAGCACAGCACTGTGAAGTAGCCGCAGCCGATTTAGCACAAGTTTGATCCCCGGCTGGGAGGTGACCTACATGGCGCAGCAGATCTCGCCTGTCTCACCCACTGCTCCCCTCAGCAGTGTATTTCATTAGTCTGTATGTTCTGCTCCCTACTCTGTCTCTGGTGAGTCCTCTCACCACCCCTGTGCTTCTGTCCTCTACCCCAGTTCTGTATGCATAAATAAATAAATCTTTGGAAAATAAACAATAATGATAATATAACATTTTTTTCTCCTTGTTGTTTCTCCAGATGTAACTTTCATGGCAACTGTTTCCTCCAGGGATGATCTTCCCTTATCTGACTCTTACCTTGAACTCTGGAGATTGCCCCTGATGATCCCTTATACGTGACTCCCTCATATGGAGTGGGTTGGGGGGCCCTACAGCTTCACTCCTAGTTTGTATCATTCTCATGATGATCACATCATGCCCGATAGTAGAGTAACAGACTTCTATGCATTCTCCTCTGTCTTCCCTTAAATTCTTTCAGTATAGAGTTCAGAGCGTATTTATCTTTCTATCAGTGACAGACTGAGATAACATGAGATTAACACTGTGTACACATCAGTTAATAAAGCTCTGTTGGATGAAGGAAGAGAAATGGGAACTTTATTTGCTTAATGTTTTATTTTCCTTTCTAAAGTTCAAAGCTTAGACTTTGCAGCATTTTTTCACTTTATCTCCTTCTGAAAAAGCCAATACTATATTGGTTAATGTTTATAGTTATTTGAGGTAATTATTTTATAATTTTCTAAATCTTGTAATTTTCAACTCACTGTGATACAGACGACAGGATAGCCAGACACGGGCCCAGCACTCTCTTTAGCTCTAGAAGTGTCATCATATATCAGCAAGGACACAATTTGAGGGACAGAAGGAAAAGTGACATCTGCCATGCTGTTCATTTCTTCAATATACACAATGGCTTTGGTTACCTAAAAAGAAAAGATTTTTATCACGAACATCGAAATACTAGATTCTCAGGGCTTCTATTGTACAGAACGATACTCATGATGCTTGGCAGGTCCACGGCTCATTATGGTGAAGATGGGTCATGGCCAGGGCTCCTGGACAGCCTCAGGGCTCATGGCATGATTCCACATGACCTTGGCACTCTGGTCACAGACTTGGCCATGGCATAGAGTAGCCTGGTAGATATGTGGCCCATGAAGTACTGGGACTCTAATTTTTTCCTTCAAATTGTAACCACTGTAGCTAGCTCTGTCTTGGGGTTGTGAGATGGAAGATCTATGAAAAAGTCAATTAGTTGGTAGTGGAAAATGTTGAAAGACTCCCTGAGAGAAGGTAGGTCACAGAATAGCATGGGCCATGCTGGGATGGTGCCAGGGAAGGGAAGTTTATATGAGCAGTAAGTTATAAGAAGCCTGAAGCACAGGCAGAGAGAGAGGCTGAGTCATGGACAGAAAAGGAATCTGTGCACATCTGCTCTGAGTCGGTGACAAGAGCACCTTGCTGATAAATTTGCCTTTGCTTCTGAATAACCTCCGGCATCCAACTGTATGTATCACCGTTCCCAAGCCTGTATTTACATGCGTATTCATAAAAGAAGCTTTCACCACTTGAAATGACTAGAGTGAATCTCTATTCCTTGTACTCAAAAAAAGTTTAATTTAACACTCTCAAAAAGCAATAATAAAAGACATATGTCATCAAGATTTATCAAAAGGTATTTTTGTTCATGCTTGAATTTTAAGTATACTCTTTAAAAACAAGGCACTATAGCAGAAAATGCTATGAAGTAGTAAAGATTACAAAGAGATAAAAAATATTTAAAGAAAAAAATCTCCACAATTTGCTCTCAAACAAGAAAACAAATAACAAAATAGAACAAATTTAAGCATAGATACTAACATTGATTTGTTCCTAAAATCATTCCGTTTAAACATTATTTTGGGTTTAAAGTCGAAGATTCTGTGAATTATACTTACCTTAAAGAATATCTGGTTGATACGATCTAAATTTCAAAAGCATAGTAAACAAGCATTAGCACAATGTTTTAGTCACTGAGGCCCAGAAAATGACAATACAAGAAAGAGCAGATAGAATTTTTAAGCATTAACAGCTGGGTTTATGGGTTATAACATATGTTATAATGACTCCTACACTGAATTAAATGCCTTATCTTGGGGCTGTGATGCTGCCTTTTCTCTGGATGTTTTCTCTCAACAAATTCAACTGTTTCTGACTGAAGTGGGAAAGAAGTCAGCTGATGTGGAGCTCAGTCCTTGAGCTTCTACAAACATGATTTTTCAAAGGGAGACAGGAATTTCTTGATTGGAAAGTGGGATGAAATTTATTTAGGAAATGAAAAGGGAATGTGCTCTGGGAAGATAACAAGAGCACAGGGTGATTTGTACACAATTGATTAATTAATTATACACTATTGATGTCTATATGCATTTTCCCTGATAAAATGGTTGTCATGAGTTTGTCAGCACACTGTTCCTTACCTGCGTCTCTGCTATCATGTTCTCATCGGGTTTTAGGTGAACAGTAAAGGCCTCTCTCATCTCTCTTATGCCATCGAAGATTACTTCAATTTCAATAAAGTGCTGGTTTTCTCCCTCCTTAAACTCAATTTCTACAAATGCAAAGTCACAAAGTGAATCTTTTTGTAAGAAACCTTAGTCAACTTATTTTGACAGTAACCCACAATAAGAAATCCAGATTACTGTGAGGTCCCAGAAAGTGTGTATGAGTGTGAATAAAATGGAATGGCTGGTATCATCAATTATTCTTAGCATTGCACTCTATTGCTTTTTATGTTTATCCCAAGAAACATTTTAATTTGTTTACTGACAGTTTGAGAAAATGGTGAATGAAGTGAAGGAAAATCAATAGTTCTAATACTGGGACACAAACAGAAAAACTCAGCTCTCATTTTCCAGGGCTTCTGGACCAACAAGACACAAGTCAAAGAAATTATTAAGTATAAAGAGAATTTACACTTTGTACACAAAATGTAAACAGTAAAGATGTGTATAAAGTTAGTGAATTTTAACATATATCAAAAATATTTTTAAGACTTTTTGTTGATTTTAATCTTACAATCTTAGGAAATTTTTTTTTAGTTAAGTATTTAGGTTCTGTCCTACCTCATGAAAAATAATTGCTTCATTGTCATGAAAACTAAAGCCATTTATAAGAACCTCCCCCCCCCACCCTTTAAAGATTTATTTATTTATGCAGGGGCAGTCAGAGGATTCACCAGAGACAGAGTGGGGAGCAGAACAGGCGGGTCAGGTGAGGTCTGCCACACCCTGTGGGTCACCTCCAGGATGGGGAATCGAACTCGCACTGAAGTGGCTGCTGCTAGCTTGCAGTGCTGCGCTCTAACCTGTTTGCCATCAAGGAGGTCCCTAGAATCCCTTTTCTTAACCATTCATGTCAAAGTTCTGAAAATGTTAACAATTAATTGATTTAGCTGAACTCAAACAAGCAACTGATCACAATATGATACTTGGATAAAGTCTTTTGTTGGTTTCACTATATCTTCTAGAGACTGACTCATGAGAAAAATTAAAGAATGCCCACATAATCCTTCCAATGAGACTAACAGATACTGCTTACCAAGGCAACTTCAACCAGTATAATTCTAAATCCTTTAAAAGTGCCAGAAGAAAATATGTCTCTATCATATTTTTTTTTCTGACTTCTATTTTTCAACTGACAATTATGAAAAAGGTTTTTTTTAAAAAAATGGAGGTAGTTCTGTTTCCAGATAAAACTGTTTTCTGCCTTGGCCCCAGCAAGTTCTTGTACTAGATTACTCTTAGATTTCTGTGACTCTGAGTAAACTTATACTTGTTGCAGAGGATGGAAACAGTTGACCATTTCTGTCCCACTCATTCTGTTTGGCTTGACCTGTGGGACTTTGCATTAATAAATCAGATTCTTATGCTTAAAATTCTGGGGATTTTCTAGGAAAATTGAATTGTGAGTTTTTTTGCATGTTCCTGCCTGATGATAAGCCAGCAGGTAAGGACAGTAAGGTTCTTCTCAGCAGAGAATGGATCTTTTGGCTTCAATGCTCAACATTTTCCTCCAATTTGCCTTGCTTCATTCATTTTAATTGCTTGCCTCAGGCCATTAGCATTCCAGTTTTGCAACCCTCTGGGTTATGCAAATCCAATTTCTAAGAACTTAAAAACTTAATTATGTTATATATTTAAATTATTTTTATCTTACAGTACATTTGCTAGATGACAGTTTTCTTAATCACTTGAGTCTTCACTTTAGGTATTTTTAGCACAAAAAGCGAATTTCAACTTTTACTCTATATTTAATTTTTTTCTGATCATTTGTAAAGGACTGACCTCAAGTTGGGTCATGGAAAGAGAAATTGGAGTTGCAGAACAAATCACTTAAATTTCTATTATAAACACTATGTTGTTAATTATACATTTAGCTTTATTACCATAAATAGCATGTTGACCTGCTATCTAAAAGATATGCAAATTGATTTAATATTATTTAAATTTTTTTCTGACTTAATTTGTCAGTTTACTATATAGTTATAAAACTATTCTGTTGTAACAAAACGAGGTTTTATTTCTTAAAAAATTTTGTTAAAGGTCATATTGTTCATATTTAGAAGGTGCTTCTTTCATATAAAACCTGCTCACTCTAGAAATCATAATTTAGTTTTTGTATTTAGCAGCTGTCATTATTTTCTTTCCTTTTGGGTTTATATATTTCATCTCAAATATTATTCTTTACATGAAGAATAATCTGAGATAAAATTTGAAGCTCTACAGTATATCAAACTTTTACCAAATATGCAAAGTACAAGTGCCTTTGTAAATGATGCTACTTTTTTCTTCATAGTTAGTGTTATTACTGAGTCCATATTATCTATCAGTCACTTGCTAAAATTTTCCTACAAGTTAGGACTACAAGTTAGGAGGTCAAGATGAATGTCTGTCACTCTGTGATCATCAGGAACTAAAATGATTGTTGGGAGTAAAGTGTAGAAAAGTACAGAGTAGATAAGAAAAACTACAAATAAGGCTCTCCCTGGTGGCACAGTAGGTTAAAGCACAGTGCTAGAAGACATCCACAGCTGCTTCAGCACAAGTTCGATTTCCTGCCAAAGAGGTGACCCACATGGCGCAGCAGACCTGATCTGCCCACTGCTTCCCTCAGCAGTATACTTTATCAATCTGCTGGTTCTGCTCCCCACTGTCTTGGGTGAAGCCTCTCACCCCTTGTACCTCTGGCCTATATCCCAGTTCTGTATGCATAAATAAATATATCTTTTTTAAAAACTACAAATAACTTACAAACTTATTTGGCACATCAATTAGTTGCCTTTGTGTGAGCAAATAATCCAGAAAAAGAACTGATTTGTTTTATTGCTATACAAGGTAAAGGAAAAAGGCCACAATTTGAAGGAGAGCATGTATGAAAGTCTCCTGAGACCCAGAGAATTGATGCTTCTGTGGCTGGTATTTTTTTCACTGCTCCTATTATTACATTTTCCAGCTTGAAGCTTTAGATTGTTTGTATTCAATAAACTAAATAGACCTACTTTAACTACTGTGTACATTTTCAATGGAATTGAATAATGTCAGGAATGTCATTACTGTTTATGTCATTAATGTTTGATAGCCACTAATGAAGATAAAATCTACCCAAAGGACACAAAAACATTAATTCAAAAGGACACCTGCACCCCTTTGTTTATCGGAACACAATTTACAGTAGGTAAACTATGGAAACAACCCAGATACCCAAAAATAGATAACTGGACCAATAAGATGTGGTATATTTACACAATGGAATATTACACAGCAATCAAAAAGGATGAACACATGCCCTTCACAGCAACATGGATGTGGCTGGAAGGGTTATGCTCAGAAAAATAAACCAGAAAGAAAAAGAAAAATATAGAATGGTTACACTTATAGGAGGAATGTAGAGAAACAAAAAGGAATCACAGAAAAAATATTAACTATAATAAAGTCAAAATCAAAATCATCAGGCAACTATAAATCAGAAACATTCTGTAGGGGAGGAAGAAGGAAAAGGGCCAGGTGAAGGTTGGGAATAAAAAAAAAGGTCTATAGTGATGGTGCATGGGTAAACTGGTGGTGGGAAATTCATGGGGAAACCATACATTGTACAAAATGAATAATGATATAATAAATGTATTAAAAAATAAACCAACAAAACCTACTGAAAATAAATTAGGCTCAAATAGGACATCTTGCATATCTGTTGATAATTTTCCTAAGTTTCAAAATAAATACCCTGTAAATCAAAAAAGAAAAACTTTGGAAATAAATTCCATTGTGTTTGTTTTTCTGAAGAAGATTAATTTAAAGGAGTATGTCTATTTAGTTGGATAATTTCTCAAGGGCATTTACATTAACATATTAGCACAACCCATGCCTTTGGAGAGGAGCCTGGGCATATCATACCTTCTGACACGGGGTGGTAGTCTTCTCCGGAGATGGCTGAGCCATCCTTGGTGTGGACTCTTACGATGGAAACCTTGGAAGTATCTCCTTGGCGAATCACTGGAATTTTTACCACTGACGACTGTCCTGGTTCTTTGGGTTCACTAATGCTAAATTTAGTTTCTCCAAATTTAATAATTGCCTCTAAAATTGTGGGAAACATAAACAAATAAAAATGTAAAAGGAATAGTTTTTCTTCATGTCTACAATTTTCTTTCCATGTGGTAGGTGTTTACTATCTAGTACAGTCCATTCCTGGGTTCTCTCTGTTCCCTCACCCAATGTTAGGAGAGACCTCGCATGTGTGCCCAACTCTTTACTTGTTACTTAGCCAGCTCCCAGAATGTATCTGCTCTGGGCTCAGTGTGTCTTAAGTTTTATTAGCGTAATCGCCTCGGA